CTCTATCTCTTTGCAAGTGCTTTCATTTCTTCCGCAATTGGGTGGCATTGTCTTTCATTGTGAATTTGCACTTTGGGAATGACCAGGATCATAACAATTGGTATCGGAGCGGACTTACTTGCTGGCGAGAGGTGTTAGTCACCCTAAACCTAATTCCGAATTAGGTTAGGGCTAGCCTAATCTCGGATTAGGGTTGGGAAGTTAGGGTTAAGAGGGGCAGTGAGGTATGTGGATACTGCCCCCACCTGGTTAGGTCATGTAGGGTCGACATCAGACCTGACCAGGTTGCTTGAGTGATTGGATGGGGTGGCGAGACACGAAGGAGGATGATTGGAGTAAGCGAGAGGGAGTAGAGAGTGAGAGGTACTCGCACCAGGAATCTGCACTTCAAGAAGACATTGAGTGACTTTTGGGCTTCCCCTCAAGAGGGAGACTTGATCGGAGGCTGCCATATCTGCATCGAAGCGCTGCAAGTTGCTACTTTGGTCTTCAGACATCGACGGGGGATCTGGCGTTGCAACAGGGGTGTAGGAAGGCCCTCTTAGTCATGCTAGGACACTTCGTGTAGTGGTAGCTAGGGGTCAGGAGGACTTATGAGAGAGTGGGGTGAGTTGTTATCCATCTTTTGAGGTCGGGCCGCACAAGTAAGTGCCGTGTGACCTGGTTATGCCCGTGGGAGGTTGCTTGGTGCTTCATGGCCTGTTGGGGTGTGTTGGGCTCTCTTCCTCTTCTTTGCGGTGTTGGTTGTGTGTGAGCATGTGGATTGCTTTCTCATGTGATGGATGGATGGATGACGTATCTGTTCTAAATGACATATCTTTCTACGGTGCAATGTCTTTTCATTCCTGAACGGTTGTAGGGGTAAGTTCTTGCTGAAAGTTGTCTTTTCCTTTTCAGTACGGTAGAGGCAGTTTGGGACTGACTTGGTACACCTATCTCGTTGGTCCTGGTCCACGACCTACTTGGGACCTTCGGGACTCAGTGGGACCAGGACCAACGGGACAGGACCTTTAGGGCCCGAATCTGTTGCCGCCAATGCGTCTCTTTGCTGTGCTGAATTTGGGGGACATACGGCTGGCAAGGGCATTCCTTTCAAGGGGATCTTGACTGGTCTTACTGCATGTTATCACATACTGCCCCGCGTCTGGCTCGGCGACCGTCTGCACCCCTTGAAATCTCCATTGCTGCAGTTAGTTTTCTTCGGCTGATTTATTGTGGTACATGTACCTTGTCACGTTAGACAAGAGGGGATCTTCAGCTAATCTGATCAGGCCCATTCGATAAGTCAGTCCTCTCTTCCGTTT